GGCGTCTAATCAATACAGAAAGGCAAGCATCTCCATACATACATTCACTGTGGAAGGTGCGAAAATGACGAGGGTACACAAGTCAGAAATCAACCGAGGGAATTGTACACACRCATCCACCGTTCACAAGACAAAAGGATCAATTCCTCRACATCTGAGGATTACCCAGGAAACTAATGGAAGAGTTMCGGAAGAAKTTCTTTCACGCAGGAAARCACAYAGATTCATTCYCATCCAAGAGAGAGARACAAACATCGAGACACATCATCATTCAAAGATAGAGGAGAGAGGGGGAGGTGAGGGAGGGGAGTCGAGATAGGAGATGACAAGATCCCAAAGAAGGAAGTTCGGCGTTGCCGCCGTGCACTCACGCCAGAGACAAGGATCCGCAACAACAAAGGCGCATTCGCCGTTAATTCCAACATGGCCCCAGGCCAATCACTCACTCAACTCCAATCACCGATCCTCATACCTGCACCGACGATCCCGACCGTCGCGTGCTAACTCCCACCACTGCGATCGTCACCCCGCTGACGTAAACTCGACGCGGTTCGCCCAGATCCCACAATCCATCATGGCGATCAAGCATGCAACCGGCCAGCCTATCGTCAGCCCGACAGGACTTTTCGACTCGCACCAAACACTCTGCCCAGCCACTGCTTCCCGGAAGCTGGCTTGAGAGTCGAGAACGTAAGAGAGATTTGCGGGCGAGTTTGCGGAATTTATAGTGGCGAGAAGGGGGGCAAGAGAGAGAGAAGGCAGGGGGAAAGTCGAAGTGTAGGGAAAGAAGCAGGAAGAGAAGACTTTGAGAAGAGCGCTTCATGGAAGCCATGTTGATCCCTCGAGACTCAAGGTTCAACCAATCAGATTCGTCGCGCAATAGGAAGATCCTATTGATCGACGTACCTGATTGGCGAGCGGGAGTTATCGAAGGATCGACCGGGCGTCGTGCGCTGAGTTCGGAGAGTGAGAAGAAAACGGCGCGAGAAGTAGCGCAAGACGGGTCCAAGATTCAGATGATCAAGAAAGGGAAAAATGGGCACACAAAGAGTAGAGCGGGAGAGAGAGAGAGAGAGGAAGAAAAAACAGTTACGAGGAGAGAGGAAGAGGAGGGGGAAGGAAAAAGGAGCGCGGGAGAGAGCGATGCAGGGGTCAGGGAGGAGAAAGCTTTGCATGCGCGGCTTCGTCAACAAAAAAAGGAGAAAAAGGCACCGAAACAGTTACAGCTTGCCTACATCCTAAACCAATTGAAAATTAAAATCACCATATCCGCGCGCGAAAAAGCGACGCGGGAAAAGAAAGTCCTACGCCTATTCGTATCCCCACAAAATTCCGAGAGTTTTCCCCAATGAGACCGAGAACATTCACGCACAAAAAGGACAMGTCGAAATTCCGCTTATCCTGGAATTCCCAACTGCCGGGCCCAATTCCCAGTGCGCTCGCTAAGGCGCGTGTAAATTCCTATGCATTTTCCGACGTGCAAAAAGAAAAAAACCAGAACCGAAGAATCACAAAAGCTTGCGGAAGATGGGGGCTCGAAACGCGGCACCCGAAATCAAGAAAACGAAAACGGGGTCTTTATGGGATGGGTATGATACAAGTGAAAACGGGGTCTTTATGTGACGCACAGGGGGTTCCAAAATTATGCGATCTCCTGATTGCATGTTATGGCAGAGAAGGAGAGAGGGAGAGAGAGAACAGAGTGATGCATGAGGAACCAAGCGTCTCAACAACCGATCCAGCAAGAGCCCATGTTGACGCCATCTTCAATTGCCATCGTGCTGTTGGAATCATCGATGGTCGTCCAGGTGACGCCATCATCGTCCGCAGGTTCTCCGTGTGCCCTGCACCCCAGGTTGTCACTGCCCGTCGAATCAGAGCGTAGGTTGACGTCATCGTCGATGACGTGATCTTCGCGAAGCTTACTGATTCGTGTCGTTTTTCCCTGCCGATTAGATGGAGAGAGGAGGGAATAGTCATGTGATCGGGATCTATCGCCTAGTTGGAATGGGCCAGTCGAGGCGGTACATGGAGGGGAGCTCACAGGGACGACGGGATGGAAGTGGGGGTAGGTAGCGATTCATCCCTTCCATTGTGACCGGAAGCTCCTCATATCGGATGATCCGGTGGAAGCGAGGGAAGCGATCGCCGCTATGAGGGAGGGAGGCGAGGTAGTCGTGATAGAAGGAGGAGAGGGTGAGGAGGAGCGCCGCTCGAAAGAACTCGTAGTGGCGACGGGCGCGGATTGTCCTCGTGGCTACGCAGTAGACTTCTACCACGTTGCATCGCTCCCATGCAGCGCTGAACAGCAGGATATGCCAGCAGAACGTGGGGGCAGCGGGCTGAAGGGATGGGTGGGGGTAGACGGTAGCGAGTAGGCGGGTAGAGTAGAAGTCGCAGAAAAGAAGGGGAAGGAAGGGATGGAGGGGAAAGGTGACGGGGGTGCAGATCTGTTTGAGGGTGAGAAAATCAAGGGGACGACGCGATAACGTCTGAGGACGAAGGCCTATCGCCCGCATCGGTACGTGGGCGAACTGGGGGACGGGTGGGGCTGGAGGAGGAGGGGGATCTGCTCCGTCTCCTTCGTGAGGTGCTTGGGGAGGCGGCTGCTGGGTCGCCATCTTCGGTCTTCGGCGGCTCCGCATTCTTGGTTGGATCGTCACCGATGCGCAGGCTTACTCCGCTGGCTAACTCCAGCTGGCGCTTCCCGGTGACGATATCTTCCCGCTTGCGTGAGGCCTCAGGATCTTCTGCTTCTGTGCCCGTGCGTGCTGCTTCCTCCGGCAGGGCTTCCCACTTAGATCCGGTTTCTTCTTCCTCCTCTTCTCCTTCTTCACTCAGCTCGCCCTCGCTATACTCGCTATAGCTTCCCTCCTCCGACGTTTCCTCGTCGTCGTCTTCTTCTTCGTCGTCTTCGATCACCACTTCCTCCTCCTTCGGATAGAAGGCGTGACGGATGATGTCGTAAGGCTTCAGGTACTCCTGCCGTGATGGTAGAGTGTCTTCCTCCCTGGGCTCCTCCAAGCAGGCAGTCCACTGAAGGTACGAATCCAATGACTGCTCGAGAACGTATGGAGCAGGGCTGTCATCTCTTTGTGAATAGATGTCGGGTGAGAGATCGTCCGCCAATTGCACAATCGGTGTGACGAGCTCCTGCGCAATTAATTGGCGGCGGCCCGGCCGTACCGATCCAAAGAGAAAGCCGCGAAGATCGCCCTCGACGTTAGTTCTCCAAGCTTGTATGATCAGCAGCTCCAAATTTTCGATCCACGCAGGATGCTCGCTGGTTTGCGTCCACGTCACCTGTACTCGGGCCAACCAGAAGGACAACTCGTTAAAAGTTTCGTGGCATAGTCGCCAATGCCCAGGATTAATAAGCGGGACAGAAAGAGGCTCGAATGAGAAGGAAAGAGAAGGTTGAAGATCGGACTGCCAGAAGGTGGGGAAAAGAGAGGAGAGACCAAAGATGGAGAGAGGAGCGAGGGGATCGACGTGGTTCATTGGGGAGGTGGGAAAGGGACGAGGGTGGGGATCGCAACCGGAGGCTCGCGCGGAGAACGGCGGATCTCGCCAAGATCCGGTGCAAAGGTCGGGATGAGTTTATGCCCTGGCCGGGCAAGACCGTGCTGCCACACGTTGGACACCTGCTCCGTCCACTCTCGCAGCGAGGTCAAGATCACGGTATGCCACCGTGGATTGAGCGAATTGATGTCGCCGCTGAAAGCCGCAACCTTGGTGACGTGGCTCGTTCCGGGAGCCGCTCGTCGATGAACTGCGATTACTTCCGCTAGTACCACTGCCTGTAAGCTCCCTTCGAATCGAAACGCGGCGGCGACACACACACCCACGTCGCAGACGAACTGCGCCAATCGCCGAAGATCCGTATTAAGCCGTGGATGACGAACTTGCCGAATTTCCGAGATATGGCCACGTGGGTGCAACAACTGTTTATCAAGAGCCCGCTCCGTGATGAAACTCATGGCCAGGTGACGAGGTCGCAGAGGAGGAGGAAGGGCAGGAGGGAGAGAGCGGAGAGAGAGTTAGATCGTCGCCATTCTCCTCGCTTTCGGAGGAGGGAGAGGGAGGAAGGTGAGAGGGAGGGAGAGGACGAAGGTAGGAGGTATGCCGGACGATGGGGGCAGAGCTATGGCTCGCACTAGCCTCAGGCGCGATGCGCACCGTGTTGGCGCCGTTAGGACCGAGCTTGACAACGCGAAAGCAACCAGAGAACTTGGGAGCGAGTTTGCGGTCGCGTGCACATTTACGCACCCGCACGAGGTCCCCTAATTTATATTGATGCTGGGGCCCAACATTTCCATTCCGAGCCTCGTACCTAAGGAACCTGCCTACCGTGGGCCAGATCGGTCATCCTTTGTCTTTTCCGGGCTAGCTTCGGGACGGCCCGCTCCATTAATTCGGTGGCCTTGAGGGCTGTACGCGTGTCTCTACCCCCTGCTTCGGCAATTTCCGAGTTACCCCGGTAGTTGACAAAGAGGAGGCTATTAGTACGAAGCTGAAAAGGGGTGAACCACGTGGACTCGTGAGGGGTGGCCCGGTGGATCCCGACGATCTGATGTACGATCTCACGCCACGGACGCGTGTCGTGTGCTGCTAAATTCTTGCGAAGGGCGGTTTTAATCATGCGGTTGGCATTTTCAGCCAGCCCGTTCGACTGAGACACGTGTGGGGCCGTATGTCGGAGCGTGACACCCCTTCGCGCAAGCAGTTCTTCTACTTCTCCCTTGAATTCGGACCCATTGTCAGTTAGGATTTCTTCTGTATCTAGATGGGTGTAGAGGAACCGCTCGATGTATGTGGCTATTTTTGCGGCCTTGCGGGTCTTACAGGGATAGACCTCGATGTACTTGGAAAAATGGTCTATTAACACTAACAGGATAGAATATTCACAGCGATTTGGGCCAGGTGGCACGTCGATATCTGTTGTGTCCATACTGACTCGTTGGAAGAGGCGCTCTACTTCCATTGGTACTATTGTGTTTGGTCCCCATATTGGGGCGCGATCAGCGACACAGACCAGACAGTTGGCAACAATGTATCTGACATCATCTCGTATGTTGGACCAGAACCATCGGTTCTGGTCTATAGTTGCCTCCGTGACATGTATCGCGAAATGAGCGGCCTGTTCTTCGTGAGCCAATCGGATCCAATCATATCTCTGGAATGGATGGGAAACCGTCAACCACGAACTCGATCCGTCAGTTTTACGCTTCTCCAAATGACCGTTGATCCACCGATAGTCCTGAGATCTCTCGGTTGTACGTCTGTCATGTTTGGTAAGGTGTCCCAATGATAATCCCGCTAATTTTGCCAATAAATTTTATCCGCCCAAACCTCCGCTTGTCGGTATTTCTCGTCGTATTCAGGGCCATCCGTTCGGGCGGCCTCGAATCGAACCTCCGTGGGGAGTATGTTCGTTCTACACAAGGGGCACCTCCAATCCTTGCTATTCGTCCGATAACGAACGCAGGCCCCGTGCGCACGATTGACATACGTGGCACAATGTCATTCTACCCAATCGACAAACCCGGTTTCGAAAGGATGACAGTCGACCCCATAAACTTGTGCAATACACGTACAAAAATAGCAGAATTTATCGAGGAGGGTGGCAAAGAAGGCTGAGGAAGTGAGAGGGGCAGAATTAGTAGGAGAAGAAGGGATTGCAGAGACAGGTGGGGTAGTCATGATGAGAGAGGAGGAGAGATAAGACCGAATTGCGGATAGGGTAGAACCAGACAAATTGATCCTTGTGTCACTTACTGCTTCGACAAGATCTCCACTTGGCCGTACCGAGGTCCAACCTCCTGTTCGGGTTCGTTCCACGGAATCACCTCCTCACTCTTCGGAACCTTTTCGAGCCGGTGCAATCGTGTCAGTCCGTCCGCATTCCCGTGCCTCTCGTGCTTCCGATGACAAATGTCAAAGTCCATGCTCTGTAGCACCGTTGCCCATCGCCCGATCATGCCAGAGTAATCCTTCGATTTATTCAGAGCCAACAGAGGCTCATGATCGGTTACCAAGGTGAACTTCCGCCCGTACAGGTAAGCGCGAAAGTGACTGATTCCCCAAAGAGCCGCGTAGCATTCTTCCGTCGGAGCGGCGTAGTTGCGCTCGCAGGCGGACACCGATTTGGACGCATACTCCACCACGCTCTCGAGTCCACTTGGTCCCACCTGGGCAAGGATTGCCGAGATCGCCTCTGGCTGCCAGTCAGTGATGAGAACAAAAGTTTTTTTGGGATCCAGTCTTATAAGGACCGAAGCCAAAATGAGAGCGGCCTTGAGTTTCAAAAACGCTTGATCACACTCCGGCGTCCAGATCAACGACTGATCTTTGCGCAGCCGATTCATGAGGGGTCCCGCGATCGCCGCGAAGCCCTTGATAAATCTTCGGTAGTACGAGGCCAGGCCCAAAAAGGCGCGAACTTGCATGATAGTCGTAAGCACCGACGCATCTCTGACAACTGCCACCTTTTGCGGCTCCGGTTGGAGCCGCTTGTCTGTTACCACGTGTCCTAAGAAGAAAATGGTGAAATGCGGCCCCTCTCTGAGCTGGTGAGTATCGGTAAGGAGCGCAACTAATGGGCGGATGTTCTCCCGTGAGGATGCCATGCTCGATCACATTAGTCAAGCCGATATCATTATCTTGCACGCTCAGCACTTCTGCATAACCGTTCAAAACATTGATTAATGACTTTCGTAGTTCCGTGGGGACGTGGCTCGGTAGGGTGATCGTTGATTCCCCAGGAGTCTTAAGGGGTATGTCGATCCAATCAACCGGCCGCTCCCGTCGATCGAAGACACTTGAAAAGACGGAACTACTAGTACGAACAGAGAAGACAGTCGCAATCATCTGTGATTCGGCGGGGCTGATAATTCCGGTTTCTTTAGCTTCGGCATCAGTTTCTGAGTCTGCCGAAATTTGCTCCACAGTCAGTCCTGTTAGGTCCGTCATCTCCTGCATTAGATCAGGCACATCACCTACCGGCGCTTCTGCCTTTTGTTTAATCAAAGCGATGGTCGCCCTCGTCGTTAGCAACGATCTGGGCGGAAAAACAGAAACGTCTAGATACTGTTCCGTTTGTTGATAATGTGTTCGTAAGGAAAGTGCTCCCTCGTACAAGGTGCGAGGGGGTTCCAAATCATCAGCCAGGTCAGACACTTGTAATATGGGTTCCACTAGGAGGACTGAAGGACTGACCTGGGTTTTCGGAGGCGCAAGCATGCTGTCTCTTGAATCCATGTGGAAGCTTCGGGCTGTGTCAGGGCACACTTGAAATCCTTCAGGAATTTCGTGTTCGAAAAGTTCGACCAGGTGCTTCCATTCATCCTCACTAGGCAGTTCTTCTTCGTACTCCTGTTTCCTGATTCCGTTGCCGATGTCTGAGGAAGAATACTCCTCGGTATCACTGCATCGAATCATCCCTATTTGGGCTGAGTTAGGAGTTTGTTTTATTGCTCGGGTGGAAATTCGCAAGGGAACAGTTTGAGGCTTTCCCCCAGTTTGTGTGAGCACCAGTTGCTTGGAATAAAAATGCAAACGTGCATCCACCGCCATCGCCCAAGGTAATCCTAACAACAGAGAATAGGAACGCACATCTATTACTAGTGCGTTAAAAAGGACGTGTACTCGTCCGACCTTCACAGCTACATTCTCAATAACACCCACGAAGTTCATTGCTTCCTCGTCGGCAGAGACATAATTGTCTTTGCCAGATTGAGGAAGAATGGATCCCAGTCGTCCCGTCTTTCTAATAGTGTCTAATGATATGGCCACTGCAGAAGACCCCGTGTCGATAAGGGCATTAAACGGCCTGCCCCAAACTTCACAATCACATTCCCCGCTCTTCCATAGTACCGGCCGAGCTCGTACGAAGTGATCCTTCTCTGCTAAAGAGATCGCGACTATTCGTGCAGCTTCGGGCTCGCCGGCTTCGGGTTCGGGTGGTGCAACTTCCTCGCCTCCTTTCTTCTTTTTCAACATTCGCTGTATGCGCTAGTACGTGAACCGCTTTTGATTTTTCTGACATTGTAGTAACAGTTTATCATTTGCAGCATCAGATATGGTGAGCAAGTGTCCCACCGGGATCGGAACGCGGATATCTAGCTGCTTGAGCGCTCGTAACACATCGATTTCGCCCGTCCTAAACTGTGGACCGGGATTACAATCGCGATCGACCCATTCGAGATCATCAGGGGCCGATCGGATCGCTCCGACCATGCCTGCGAGATGAAGATACTCAAGTGGATCGACCACGTCAGCAGCGTCAGAGGAAGAAGCTCCCGATGTCGACGCTATTGCCATCGAGGGGGAAGGCGGTTCTGGGGCATATGCCACGAGCTCTCCTCCTTGGGCCGTATCCATCAATGCGGTCACTCGTCCTTGATTCAGGGCCACAGGGGCCGCAGCAGGTGGGGGCTGATTACGCTTTGGCTGCGGACAGTCTCGGGCGAAATGTCCGGGCCGTTTGCAGTTAAAACACTCGATCTTTCCGGCTGGGTTAGCTGGGTGAGGGAACCGAGGTGCGTATCCTGGTGCGGGCGGGGCAGGCAAGAGTGGAAATGACGCGGGGGCAGGCCGAGCAGGGCCCGGGTTAGGCTTAATTAGCCTGCTCATTATCTGTTTCATCCGCTCTATGTGAGCGGCCTGCATTTGGATCAAGTTGTTCATCCATTCGGACTGCTTGGTAGTGGCCGTATGGATCATTTGGGCAAGATGTAAGTTGGTTACGGCCAGCGAGGGAAGTTCGTGGGAGATTCTGCTCCTAGTTGCCGCTATCGGTTGATTCGCCGGGGAGAAGAAGAGGAAACAGGCGGGATATCGGAAGCGATCCGGTCGGGAAGGTCATGGTCGAGGCGGGGATAAAACCGTTCTACCGCCCGCAACCATGATCACCTTTTAGCTGCTACATCCTGTATGGTATCCGTAAGATCTTCGTCTCCCTAACTGATATATTTTTTTGTATCGGTCAGGTCCAGTTCCAACGCTTTAGCAATGATAGCAGATAACTGGTGTGTCTTCGGCGGGACCTTTTTCTGTAACTTCCCTTTCAACGTCGGACTTCGTAGATGATCAATGAACAAATCTCGAGCGGACTTCTCGTCTCGCCCTGATTTGTCCAGCGTGGTTTGAAATCTATCCACGAAATCGGGTAGCAGTTCCCCTGGTCCTTGTGGCCGAGTTTTGAGCACGTACCAGGCGACATCTTCACTGACCGTATCGAATCGAGCCAAGAGGGCTTGTTTGAAAGTATTCCAATCTACCCATGTATGTTTTCTAAACCAGTCATGCGACGTATTACGGAGTAGCAAGGTAAGAACGCGGGGAAGATCACCTGCGCTGTAACCCTGAGCTTCAAAGGCTTCCATCCAAGCTTCGGGGTGGATATGATTAGGGAAGAAGGGGAAAGGGGCAGAAATGCTAACGATCACCCTATTACCGTCCACCATTGGTATAGCCGGTATAGCCGCACCAGATATAGATCTGGTCACTGGTCGATCTCGACGAGCGGGTGGGGGACTTCTTCTTCTACCTCTCGCCAGTTCGACTTACTATCATCAGCACCGACAAGTGTCGGCTCCGATGCCAACCTCACGCCCTGTGCTGTCTTTCGTTCGGAGTGCTAGATGTGCGGAAAGAGGCCCAGAAAAACAGCAAGATGGGGTGTGCCAAGGATTTTTGGAAATTGAGTGTGGGGACACAGACGAAACTGAAATCCCCCGTGTTGGTCCGACGAAGTAAGTCGATCGTTTTTCGCGCAGCGTTGACTGAGCGCGCGGAAGTTTGGCGCGAGAGGAGAGAGAAATACAAATTCAATCCAGAAAATATTGTCGGACTTCCCACCTGGCTACAGCCCGTCGTTTAGAACAGAAAGGTTTCGACATGTTTCGCGTGTCTCGTTTCCGTATTAAGTTCCGTCGTCCTTCATCGACCAGTTCGGAATCCGACCTGGATGGTCGTAGTCGCGTGGCTCTTTCTCTATGTTCGTCTTCACTCCGCACACGGTAGTGGAAACCCCTGGTTTCGTAGCGCTCAAAACGCTGGCATTCGGTGCATAGAGTGTGCAGCCAGTAGGGTTCTACTGCTGTCCACGGGATGACTATCAACTCATTGAATGGCAACAATATCGAGTAGGGTGGAAAGTGTGTATCGATAATGACAAACCCAGCCTCTACGAACCCTGAACAACTGCTTGCCGGAGGGAAGTAGTATCGACCGCTGATCTGCGCGACAGCTTCTCGTACGTCTCACTCGCATACACGCGTCCTTTCCTCATTGTAGGGAAAAGGTCGTGTTGATAGTACAGGAGGTACGGGAGGCTGACCCCCGATCGAAGGGTGCTTTTCAGTCCACATGTCAATCAATTGCAAAAATTCTAAGACGTCATCAAGGAAAAACACTCGCGCAATCACTAATCAATCCTTTTTGACACGAGAGAGGGAGAGAAAACACTCATTAGCTCGATCATGCATGCAACCGAGGGACCGACCCGCGACTCAGTTTTCCGTAAGCCACCGCGGTGGTGATCCTAGGCGCCTTATTTCTCGGGGCTGTCCTGTAGATCAGCTGCAGATGTCGTGCAACATAAGGCAGATGACATGCGCAGTGCATTCAGGAATACAGATCTAAACACTCTTGCATTCTCGAACAAAATCCCGCCAAGTGCGGCGTCTAATCAATACAGAAAGGCAAGCATCTCCATACATACATTCACTGTGGAAGGTGCGAAAATGACGAGGGTACACAAGTCAGAAATCAACC